CCCCAAAACCCCAAAACCCCAAAACCCCTTTAGAGTAGATTATAAGAAATTGATCAATATTAGTTTTAATAAAATTATAAGAAAAATGGAGTAAATTCTAAAGAATTTTCAAAGTGTAATCAATTTTTATTAATTGAAATTGGGAGCAAAACAATCTGATTGGGAAAAAATTAAACAATAATTTGAAATAGCTACTATAATATTGGAGGAATTACTCAGCAAATTTTTTAATGAAACTATCTAAAGATCTATTCAAAATTTTACTAAAACGGAGCAGGATATTTATTTCTTATCAATGAAACTTAAGGAACTTACCAAAATGTATAATTAAATTGAATTGAGGAATAATATGAATCTTTAGAATGAATCTAAAGTTAATTAAGCAGGGTTTGTAATGGAAGTTGACCAAAATGGTAAATAATAATTAAATAAAAGTAGAGATAAATACAGTATTAATCTTCAAAATAAGCAGGTTTTGAATTAAGTTTAAAGGAACTAATTTTTAGGCAATATTGATTTAAGAAATAAGTAAAATTAACTAAATGGAACAAGAAGTCAGTAAGAAATTGTTAAATAGCCAGGCTACCAAAATGCATATTAAAAGCCAGAAAAAATGAATGCTATATAACATCGAACTGTCACACCCAACAGACCACCATAGATTGTTCAAGAGATAAGAAATCAGACCTAGCCGAGTAAGTAAATTTAAGAACCTATAATTACAGAACCAGATGATCCTCAAATCAATACACTTCCTTATGGTAACGTTAAGTAATCTAATTTATAGTAAATAAATCAGAATACAAAAGCCAGACCAATCGATGGCTATGAAGATATAATAAATCAAGAATTCTCATAAAGTAATAAAAATTTGTTGTCTAATCAGAATTAATAATTGAATAATAAAAAGCCCAAAGTGCAGGTATCATTGGAGAAAACCTAGCCTACCAAGCTTAATTATGAACTACATTCTAATCAAATTCAATTAATTGCGAGAGATAGGGAAGGTTTAATTTTTTTCTGTGGCAATGATAAAAAACTTACAATATACAAAAATAACCTTAAATAAATTGACTCTGTTTTAAAATTAGAGGATTAACCAAGATGTTGTTTGTCCTATCTCAAATATATAATAATAGGTTTGTGGAATGGAAAAATAAATATTTATGATAGCACTTATTTCACCTATTCAGATCCAAGAGCAATGGTCTAAATATAGACTAAGTCAATTTCAAACAAAATGATTGGTATTTAAAATAAATTTATAATATGCGGTGAATCAGAAGGGTAAATTGAAATATTAGACATAGATAAAGGATTCGCATCAAAGGTTATTTCAAAAAATAGTGAATGCCCAGTGCTAGATATGTGCTATGTAAAACATCAAAATCAAGATAATTTATTTGTATGCCGCTATTAAGAAGGCCTCCATTTATTTAGAGCACTTGAGAATGATAGTCCTTTAAACCTTAGACATACAGAGGAATTATTGAGAGAAAATGCATTTAGTGCAATAAATTAAATAAATGAAAGTGAACTTCTTCTTGCATGTTCAGACTACAATGATTATAAGAATGAACATCTTTTGGTGTATAATATTAATGAATAGAAAGTTACCAAAAAAATCAATCTTAAAAATTCTAATGCAGTAATCTAGTCAATTCAACTTGTGGATGCAAATGAAAATCTAGACCATAAATATATGCTACTGAGATCAAAAGAAAGTCTATTATTATTCAACACAACCGATTACAAAGAAAAGTTGATTATGCCAATGTAATACTAGGCATTATACCCTCATCACGACTCAATGAAATCGTTTTACTCAGAAACTGGAGATACACTTTACATACTATTCCTTGAACTCGTTAAAAATTCTTATGAACTTAATGGTAAAATGTTAAGCCTTTCAGAATATACTTATAAACTGAAACCCTGAACTTAGCTGAGTAAATAGCTTAATGAATTGATATCTACATGAAAGTTTTTATTATTTCTTATGTATTTTCAATTTCCTATTTGACATATATTTTATCTTACGGGGTTTTGGGGTTTTGGGGTTTTGGGG